GAAGCTTGAGGGGCATCTGAGTCAGCATTAGAAGTTCAGCTCTTAGTTATTGTTGTAGGGGTTTCTTGGAAAAAACCTTAATATATATTGAGAAGAAAAATCTTGCTACCACCACTGAAGGCAAAATACTAATCCCACAGTGGGATATTATGTTTGTGTTTTGGAATGCAATACAGCTCCCAGACAACTTGCACAATAAAAAAGGGAGTGCCTGGTCTTGCATGATAGTTCGTTCTGCAAGACATGCATTCATATTCACTTTTGTAAGACATTTTCTTTTCAATAAAAATTGGTTTAGTTCAGCATCTGACATATCATGATGCTGTTTTTTTCATTAACAAACATATGTCTCTGTCTCTCTCTTCTCAATGCAGTGATTACTGTGGTTTTGTTTTTACTTATTCCCAATTTGATTAATCCTTTTCCTATTCTATATCACGCTAAGTAAACCTTACCCACTTTTTCTTGATTTTTGTTTCAGATGACATATGGTAAAGCTGATAGTACATTTCCCTTTCTTCTAAAGCACTAAATGAACCGAACTGTTCAATTTTTTTACTTTCTTCTTTCTGGAAATTCCTGCAGAGATGTCTAAAAAGATCAGAGGAGCAGGATGAATGCTGCTTTCTAATCTAAGGTAGTTCCCTATAGGGAAGGTTTCTTGGAGTAAAACTTGGAGCCTCTGACTTGTCATTCTACTCGCAGTGGCTTCAGTTTTGAATTGTCATGTTTCCTGGAAAAATTCAGACTTCAAGTTTAGGAGTTTTATTTTCTACTCTGAGAAGCTATCTGTGTGGTTCGGGAGCCTAAGAATATTTAGAACAACTTTAAAAGTTCCTAAATTATCTTGTTACAATTATTAATTTATTTAATGTTATGAATTTTTGTGTGTTGTAAAACTATTAGTAATAATGAATAACCAAGAAATTTTGAGATGGATACATTAATGTGTAAGGAGGGAGTTAGGGCAGAACCTTAAAAGCACTATACGCAGTTTAGCTGCTCCTGACAAACAGATATTTGTTGGTATGTCTCAAATTCATCTACCAATTCAATCTAAATTCATAAGGTTTTCCCCTTCTCGCTCGAAAGTTTCCTAGGCACCTGCTCTTTAGTACTACACGTGACCAGAAGTACTTTCTTCTGAAAAAGGTGGGTTTAGTTCCTTGTTTATGCCACATTAAATTTGTAGAGGTACCTAAACCCTTCGGAGGTCTTCATCTAGTAGTATGCATAGATCTTGAATGTGAAATAGCTAAAAGACATAAGGAACCTGGGAGGGCGCTCACCTCTTTGACTCGACTTGTTAAAGTCATTGGTGAGAAATGGCAGATACAGGTTTGCTACCCTCCTCAGCCTAAGGGATTCAAACCTCAAACCCTTGTGTTTTAAGACACTGTGTGAACTACATACCTGTGAGTTTAGTGGTACAGGCTACCCTGAAGATTCCTACTGCACTGCAAGCGTTAATTAGCCTTGCCCGCTTGGCTTCATAAACGTCCATCAAGGGAACTGAATCTCCATTGCCCAGTTTCTGGCTGGTTTAGTTGGTACATCGTATTATGGAAGAGCAGGGCAGCAGATTATCTATCCACAGCTTCTAAAAGTTGAATCCTCCTCATTTCTCCTGACTCGGGCGAGGTTTTTAGTTTCTGAATCCCAAGGGAATAGCAGAACTTTACCTACCCGTCAGCCCCTAAATCCCTAGGGATATAAGGTTTGGGGGCACATCCTTTTGCTTTTAGTACCGTGTACTAGATACTGTTGAGTGACCTTCATTTTGGCCTGGGAGATTATTTAGATTGCTTTAGTAGCGTCTCTCTAGCTTTCCGCTTTCCAATGCACCTAACTCTGGACTTTGCATTCTGCTCTGCAGCACGGACACCGACAACACAGGAGCTGCAGTGCCCATACAGATCTTTGAGGTACAGCACGTGATTTGTAATGAAGACATAGGGGAGAGCAGAAAGCAAACATGGTAGTAGGTGGTAGATTTCCAGAAAAATGATGAGTAAAAAGAAACGAGTAACTCATGCCAAGAACAAACTGATAATGCTGCTGAGAAAAAGACATAATGGCCTGTAACTGCAAACAAAATGAAATTAAGTACATCATTTGTTTAGAACTGTTTACTATGTTTAATAAGGAGTGAAGGTGCTAGTTTCATAATAATGATACCACTTTTGTCCCCTTAAATACAGAAGGATGAAGTTTAGATGTTTGCGGCGGGAGGTTAGTTTTAATGTGTCCTCCAAAGGCTGATACTATAGACCTAGTGGAATTCCCACAGAATAGCATCGCTCTGAATGCAAGAAGAATTGTGCTATGCATTGGTGAAACTTTGATTCCTGTAAAATTAACTTCTCTTTGAAGTAAGCCTAACAGAGTGGGTGGGAATACTGTCGATACCTGTTCCTGTGTGCTTTCTTGGGGAGGAAGGGGGAGTGGAGGGGGGTGGTCCCCCTAAATGCTTACCTCTGACTTGAGTTCTTACTGTTTCAGGGGGAGAAGACGACAGTTGAATGTTTGACAAGTTTTTGTGAATTGTTGTGCTTGCTTTTCTCAAGAAAAATAGTTAACTGGTTTACATTTCTCAGGTATTACTTGGGAAGCATAAGAAACGAAGGGATTCCCCAGCCTAGTTTTTCTTCTGAACTTTAGGTCACTGTCTGAGCCTGGCTTGGAGGTCAGATGGTCTCAGGAATGTACAGCTTTCATCTTGCTGATGGTTTTTTCTCATCTTGGCCAGTGAAAAATGTAGTTGTTGGAACAGAGCCGCAAGGACAGTTCCAGCTCTCCACTGACAGAGATGTGGAAGTGCTGTCTCCTCACAACTTCTCGTTAATTATTGTTATGGTTTTTTTAATAGTATCTTGCTCCTTCCTTTCAGCTCTACTTGTGATACTTGTGAAACAGCATATTTTCAAGAAAGTGCTTAGCTCCTAAATAATTAGACAAATGTGTATTTCTACTTTTGTGCCTAGATAAATTGGGATGTGAATGACTGCTGGGGCTAGAAATTAGTGGAGATCCATAGTTATTAAGGAACAGCCAGTGTCACAGCCCTCACTGGAGACTGTGGGAGATGGTTCACACTCTGCAGTAAGGTCAACGTTGGTGTGGCACTGGGAATGCCCTGGTGGGGTCACAGGGAGTTCTCCAGCAAGTGCAGAACAATGGACGTCGTGATGGTACATCTTCCCTTTGAGAGCTCAGCTCTGCCCCACTGCACAACCAGGGCCGCCTTGCTCTTCTTGCAGTGGGTTGTTCTCAAAACATTACCAGTATATATGTACGTGTAGATATACTTATGCATGTATAAACTCAATAGAGAAGAAGAGAATCCAGATAGTTTTCGAGTAGAATCTGATACCATCGATGTCAAAGACCAGCTGGGAACTATATGTTTTGGGCATGATCCAGTCGTCTTCATGAAATTTGACCAGTATCTAGAAAAAGGAAAAAGACTCCACTTTCTTCTCAAACTGGTTAAAAAAATATTTTCAGTACAAAGAAAGGAATTTTTTTGTTGGTTTTTTTAATTTGGAAAAATGTTAGATGGTGTTCAGTTCTGAATCTGAGATGGCTCCGAGTCTTCGTTTGCTTGCTGAAGTTTCAATAAGTAGCCTTTCTCAGCATCCCTGCAGAACTGCTTGAATCTTAGTCTCCAGGCTGTATCTGCCAATATCTTCATTCAGCCAGGTCATTGGGAAAACTAAGATTTCCAGTGTGAACATCCTCTTACCAACACGCACTCTGGCTGCTAGGTTTTATAAAGTGTCAAAAAGGAAAAGAAAAAAAAGAGAGGGGGACTGCAGTTTTAACCCACAGCAGTTCCCTCATTAAGTTCAGTGCGGGGCTGACGGGGCTGGCGGAGGGAAGGGAGCTGTGGTGGGGCAGGAGTGAAGGGCTTGAAGGAGGTGGTGAATCCCCTTGTTTTGATACCTGGTTTCCATTTTATGCCGGTGTGAAGTGATGTAGAATTACAGGCTCCGGCTCTTATTTTAGCATGGTATGAATCATCTCCTGAAGACACCTCCATCTTGGCCCTCCTCTTTGTTTTTCTCTAATCCCAAACAATACCAGAGCTCTCTGAAATGTCTGGCAACGTCCCTCTGCCATCACCCTTACAAAACTGGCAGCAGCTGAGCGGGTGGTGAGCTAGGACTGCCCTGTCTTGTGTCAGCTTTTGGATCATTTACATCATCTCCCTATGCCCTTCCTAATGGTGATTTCTGCCTCCAGAATGCGGTACTTACTGAGGAGGATGTAATCTGGGGCAGGCGAGTTTTGTACGCTCCTAGGGTGCATCGGACAACAGCCAGCCAGGAGCGGGGCAGGGCTTCCACGGGCTGTGTATTGCACAAATTCTAATCAGCTTGTGTTGTTTTAACACAGGATAGCTTGACAAGTTGTTTTCTTTAGGAGGTAGATTATACGTACAAAATATTTACCAGTTCCTCAGTGATCTCTAGTGTTGACGGATGTTCTGTTTCTACGATATTGTACATGTACTTGTGCAAGCATTACCTTCCAGTTTTTAACTAAAACTGCACGTGCTACCTTTTCATATAGCTGGGATACGTGTTTCATTTCATGCCTTTCAATTTTGTTGTGTTTTTCTCGTCGTGTGGCACTCTGGCTTTTCCTTTGTCTTTCCTCATTCACCCTTGCGAAATTGCCATGAAAATTCAGCAACCCAGGCACAAACCGTACTTATCTGTTCTTACATAACTAGTAACAATCGACGAGATGATAACGCTTTGCTTGCCCACCGCAGATTTTCTTCTGAAGGAGTTTTGTGTAACATTTTGTGGGGTCATAAACACCAATAAATGGTACCTTTCAAACAAAGTCTATTTCAAATGATAGATTTGCCAAGTAAAAAATGAGCTGAGCATGGAATGAGAAACTTGGAAATACGAACAGAGAACTCATGACTTTTCCACCGTAACCCTTTCTTGTACTTTCTTCCTTTTAGTTGCTGATATGTGTTCAAGATGAGTGGGATGGGAGAAAATACCTCTGACCCATCCAGAGCAGAGTCAAGAAAGCGCAAGGATCCCGATCAGCTTGGACCCAGGTTAGATCATTTATGTCTGAAGACTTTGAAAGAGAAAGACTTCTTAAAAGTGTTACATGTGCACGTATTTTTTCAGATGGAAAATGACAAACTTACCATTCTCGCAAAGAGAAGTCGGTACCAAACTACTCCATCATTTATGTCTGAAGACTTTGAAAGAGAAAGACTTCTTAAAAGTGTTACACGTGCACGTATTTTTTCAGATGGAAAATGACAAACTTACCATTCTCGCAAAGAAGTCAGTACCGAACTACTCCGATGCAGTAATTCTGTAGTGTTGTGGGTCTGAGATGAGGAGTGGGGGTATTGTCTTTTATTACTATTTGTTTGCTTGTTTTGAATCCAGTATAGTGCCAAAATACAGAATTTTGGTGACAATTTAGGAGCTATGTAAAAATCTTTTGGCTAATCATCACAAGGAGTCTTCAGTCACTCATTCAGGCAATCTAAGATTTTTTTTTTTTTACCACCTCTCTTGTACGTCATAATCAGGGAACTCATCACAAGGAGTCTTCAGTCACTCATTCCGGCAATCTAAGATATTTTTTTTTTACCACCTCTCTTGTATGTCATAATCAGGGAATTGAAAAATATTTTTCAGTTTTGTAGCAGTTGCATTACCAACACAAATAAATTTTAAAGCATAACCACTCATTCACCATTTTCTCTTACAACTGTCTGTCGTAATTTCACAAGGAGGCAGGGAACATGGATTATTTGGCTTAACTTTTTAAGCTGTTTTGTTTTCTCATACACTGTCATTATATGACACTCCTTGGATGCTCAATACCATGTGGAGGGATACCTGTAAATGTTTACATCCCACCCTTCCAGTTAATCTTCTGTTTTCAATTTCAAATCCCAAACCTCTTTCAAAACAAAAACATGACTGCTGGGAAAAAATAAGTAACATCTTTTTTAATGATCCTTTCCTTGTTCCAGAGGAAACCTTTCTCCCTGAGAAACTTGTAAGTTATACTTTTGTAGTGAGAGAGGGCAGCTCCCTCTGTTTTTGTTAAACTACACTCAAACCATTTGAAATCGTCTTTGAGCTGGTGAGAAGGCAAGCAAACTGACATTAAATACAACATTTTTATAAACTCCTCTTTCAGCCCTAAAAGAAGTACTGAGAAACGCAATCGTGAGCAAGAGAATAAATATATAGAAGAACTTGCAGAGCTGATTTTTGCAAATTTTAATGATATTGACAACTTTAACTTTAAACCTGACAAATGTGCAATCTTGAAAGAAACTGTGAAACAAATTCGTCAGATAAAAGAACAAGGTAAGAAGACTAATTAATTGACTTTGAATGTTTTCTGTGTTGATTATTACTTTATTTTTGGCAAACCCGATAGTCTCTTCAGCTTTTCTTTAGCAAATTCCCAGGTTTTTCATTAATCAGTAATGAAAAATGCTGTAATAACACGTGAACAGAGTTTGTTAAGTATCGTATTCAGTATTTTAAAAATAAGCTTCACAGAAAATTTGTAAATTGCCGAAAGAGAGAGAAAATTGGTCAGTCTGATTTGTGCATCTAAATGGAATTGAAATCAGTTGTGCTTTTACAAAAGTTAAACTAGCACATGGCTTTGGGGCGGGACGGGGGAGGCTACTTACATACTCTTGCATGGATGATGAATCCATGCAAAATACGAATAATCCAGTAGAGTGGGGTATGAAAGTAATTTGCATCACCCCTTTTGCTTTCTTTTGTTGGTATGAATAGATATTGTGGACTGAATTATCTACGTCCCTTAAATGATGACATCATATCCTCAACTACAATAGATTTGAAACTATTCTAATCTCTAGATAGGGTCCTGTTATAAATGTAAACCAGAGAACGTGACAGTTTTCTTCCTGTTCTTTGTCTAGAAAATTGGTTTTGTATTTCTTTTCTTTTGATATATTTCCTATTTAAAGAAAAAAACCGAATCTTTCCGAAACTTTAAATTTTTGGAAGTGGGTTTTGTGGCACAGGTCTATCTGGGCAGGCGTGAATGGCACTGCAAGTGTTTGGGGCAGATTCAGATCCTTAAATAGCTGTGTATCGTTTTTCTTTTAATGTAGAAGATTGCAATCTCCTTATAAATTGTGTTTAGAGTGATTCCTTTGGTTTTCAAACACTTTAATTAACGTCTTTCGCTTTTTCAGTATTCTGTGATTTCTGTGGGAAAATAATGTTTCGTTTTCCGTACTGTAAGTGTGAAGTTCTAAAAGTGGAGATTACGTGTCGCATAATTTAGATACAGATTTATTTCTAAAATAAGTAGATAAGTAGATCTGCAGTTTCATACGTTGGCCTATTCAAAGCTAAATGGAAAATGAGAAGTGTCAAATTGTGTCACCTGCCTCCAAAGTGGCTCTAATTAATTAATCTTTGGAATGTTCCTATTTCTCAGCTTGTTCTCTTCTTATTGCTATTACATTGCCATAATTTTTAAAGTGGGTATTCCAGTGAAGTTGCCATGCCCTATATTAGAAGTATATTTCTTAACCTGGCACAGTGTCCATCATTTTGCATCTT